GTAAGAATGTCCTGTGATATTTTTTGATCTTACGCGAGCTGAAGTAATATTTTCATCTTCATGTGAGAGGTTTCTAGTCGAGTGAATCTCTAGTTCGAGGTCAACCTGATGAGTATTGAGAATTTCTTCAGATCTATGGTAACTCATTTCTCGTTTCACATCGGCTAAAAATGAGTCGACAGACGCATTAATAGCATTGGAATCACTTGCATGATGACAAATCACTAGTTTCGTAATTTTTCCAGAACAAATATGATGACAATGTTTAAATACCTGCAGTTAGTATTTGGATACTTCGAAGTTCAGAATCGAATCTTCACCAGCTTTTTGGAGAGTTCACCGTTTCAAATTACGATCATGAACAGAGAGAACATGTTCTCGAGCTTCTTCAAATCTATCGTAGACAAAATTGTCTATAACTTGTTGATGAAGAATAGACTTGAATCGATGCTTTGTGGATTTTCATATATGTTTCTTTCTTCCAGTCGAGTCACAGGTATCGTAGTAATCGATGACTTTTTTCCTGTAGTCGAGAATGAAGTTCATTTTAATCGATGAGCTCTCAACATTTTTAGTCTTATCGAAATCTGGATCCATACTTACATCTCAACGGTCTGGTTCTCCATGTTCAGTAATTTGATCTAGTAAAAGTTTCGCGACTCTTGCAGCATCACTCATATTTTTGTTACATATAAGAGTAAAGAACGTGCTATTTGATGAAAAATGCTTCTCTCGAATAACGAGCATAACATCACAGCATGTATCCTTGATATCGCGTCATTCATTGTCATGACCCTCAAGAGAACGAAAAAGAATGTATGTAATGTGCATCCACTGTTTATCATTCATGGACTACTACCTCTGTGATGATGGTGGATATAATAGAAAAAAAAACATTGGCTTATAGAAATGAGATAAAATCCGAAAATTTTACAGTAATTTGCTGATGATGCAATCACTTTATCACGAAATTTCTAGGTAACAGCACATGTTCGTTTTCGAGATAATGGCAATAGAGAAGCAAAATCTTTCTTATCTGCTGGAACTTGAAAATCCAATATCTTAGCTCATAAGAATCATGGGTCTGAATCCTTTTAGGATTATTCTAGTCTAGAAGTCTTCTATATGTGCTCAAACTATGTGCTCAAAAGTGGTTAATCACTTCTGGTATTTCTCTCATAAACATAACACAAACAAGTGTTATAGAACTAATTTCACCAGAAATAACTTTCAGATATCTTGTATGAAAGTTTGACATAGAAAAACTCAAATTTCTCGACGGAACTGATTTCATCAGTTATCGATCTCCTTCTTGTTAATATGCTTGAAATTACTCTGTCAAGTTTAATGTCAACCTATCGAATCAAATGCACCAGATGTTTGATTTCTCATATAATGATAATAAAAAAGCAGTATGCTTCGTTGCACATTCTCATTTTTTTTCCTTTTCTTTCATGGTAATTTCAAAAGAAAAAAAAACAGCAGTGGTTATATTTATTGATGTATTTTTTACTAATACAGTCATGCCTCTACATATAACAAGATAGACATTTATATACAAAGATCATCTTATTAAAAAGTATTGTTCAAGTAAATGAATACAAAAAGAACATAATAATAAAGAAGAAATATTATTGGAATGTTTGATTTCATTAAAGGATTTTTTTTATTTATTTTTATTATTATGGCAACTATTATTCTTGGACCCATTTTCAGCACATCTTATTATTATTTAATTAATGTTGATGCTACCTCTACAAGTGTAACATCATGTCGTTTAATTATTACTATTAGCGTAGGATTAATAGATTCAGTTGTATATGGTATTGGTTTATATTTATCAATTCAAACAATTAATGAATTTCATAATCAACAAATATTTTCTAGTAAAGAAATAATTCATTATCATAAACATTTTCAATCAATAATAACACATGAAAAACATTTATTACAATCGATTAATCAAGTTACAGATCTATTAATTGAAAATCAAATGAATTTACATGATGTAATGAAGGATTTAATTAAAGATAATCAGAATCATACAGATTCAATATTAATACAAAATATCAGAAATAAATTAGAAATATTGAAATTTATTGAAAAAGATGGTTTAATGACAATAAAAGAAAATATTAATGAAAGTCTTCAATTATTAAAATTCAATTTATCAATTAATAAAAATCATCAACAATTACATGAAACTTATTTCAATGATATAGTATTATTAAATTCTTATCTATTCAATCGAATTTATTTATTTATTTTTACATTTTCTTTTCTTCTATATATTCATCAAACTTTATTATGGTTTTTTCAATATTTAACTTTAAAAAATCCTGAAAAATATTTTTCATATTCATTTATTCTATCTATTATTATTTTAAGTCAATCATTAGGATTGATTTATTTTATTGAAATAACAAAAACATTTAGTTATCTTTCACTATTATATATTTATGCATGTATTTTTTTTATTCGAAGTTTTATAACACTTGTCAGTATTCTTTGGGGCTCATAAATAATATATTTATTGAAGCAACGTATTGATGTAATATAGGCGATCAACTATTGATCACCTAATTGAATTTTCTTTATTTAAACTTTTTATAGTTTAAAAAGAAAAATTCATGTTTCCATTATTGTTATTATATATGTATGCACTCATTACAAGCAACTACTGAACATGGTGTTATTATTTTCTCTCTATTTAGAGAATATATGTTTTCAAGCCAAATGATGATATTGGTATTATGCATGTTATTTGCATATGGTACGGTGGTCAACATTGGATATGGTATGGTGGTTAACATCGGTTATAGTTTGGTGACCAATGTTGGTTATGGTATGGTGGTCAATATCGGTTATGGTGGTTTATGATATAATGTTCAACAGCAGCTATCGTAATAATAATATGATGGTCATCGACAACATTTATTATATAATGATATGATGAACTATTTTTGTCATCCATTTTGGTTCAACCTTCTGATGATGGTCGTATAAATATGGCCGAAAATTCCACACAAGGTTAAATTAAAAATTTTTAAAAATTAAAATAAAAAACAAATAAAAAAGAAAAACAAAAAAATTTTATTATTTTATTAGTATTTTTTTCTATGTTTTATTATTACTGTCATGTACTCATTCAACATGATATATAAATTAGAAAGATTTTTCTTTTTCTTTTTAAACCATAGAAAGTTTAAATAAAGAAAATTCAATTAGCTGATCAATAGTTGATCGCCTATATTATATCGATACGTTGCTTTAATAAATACATTATTTATGAATTTTGATTAAAAAATCCATGTTTCCATTATTCTTTTCTGTTTATTAATCGTGAAGTACAGTTGTACATCTTCATGAAAAGAAACAATATATAATTTTGAACTTTAGATTTTTCCTATTCTGTTTGAATAAAAACATTACATGGATCCACTCAGTCAAATGGTTGGCTATCTTCTGATCGCTATTCCATCGCAGTATATTAATAGTTGTTCTCCGACCAGTAGCCGACTGCCGATGTATTGGCGGTAGTACGAACCAACCTGTGACGTGGGATTCTATGAGTCAAATATAATCATTTACTTGATGCAATTGAAGTTTATTAAAGAATGTCTCGATAGTACACCATGAAAAACAAAAACGCAATGAATGATCGAAAAAAAAAAGAGAATGGATGACTGTAGAGTCTATTATGAATGTAGTCAATCATTAAGCAGTTGTTAGCCAGAGATAAGTATTATCTTATCGCGTGTATAATGTTTTTAATATTTCAAGCAACAAGAAAGCCGAAAAAGAAAGATTTCACTAGAGAATACCAGAGAGAATATACATGATCTATAGAGCAAAACAAGAATATACCTAAACATTAGTCATCTGCATCGCGGTCACAATCGTGACCAAAAAAAGAAGAAAATTTTTTCACAATAGTCTTCCATAACGAAACTAGAAGAATAACTTGAAAATCTTTTTTTTCTTGTCACAACCGTAACCGTCATGCAGATCTCTAATAAACATATTAGAGAAGAAAAATGTATTAGGGATGTGCAGTTTTAGTTTACTGACCACTAATGCCATTGGCTCAATCTAGTTAGGACATATAGGCACCAGTGTTCACTAAACCATTCAGAATACATCGCTACAAAAAGAGCATATTTTCATAGAGTTGGCGTCTAAATGTTGCAGCGAACAAAGATATCAATGTAGTCAATGCTTCAGAGAATGCCTATACAAGTGTAATTCGTGTCTCCGTGGATCGTGTACCGATGACCCACTGTCAAGTAATTACACCAACACTACACATTCTCAGAACGTAAAAGCATTCGCGCATGATAGCATAACGAAAGAAGATATAGATAGAATACATATATATGATGACATCACAGTAATGATAAAAATAATTTGCAAATCTTTTTTTAAAGAAAAATTTGTCTACAATTGAGAGAAAAGAAATCTGTTGAAAAAAACATCATTCGATATGACAAATTTTGATTCTTTCTCACTAAAGCTCTTTAGAGAAATTTCTTTTCATACTCTGAACAATTTATATTAAAGTTTTCTGTATCGATTTTCTTCCAATATTGTATTATTTTGGTGTCATTTCTTCTTCCTTAGATATGTTTTAAAATGTTATCCGTCATTTACATATTCACACAATAATATATCATTTTCTTACTTGTCAATTACTATGCCTAATTGCTGCTTATTTTCACAATTATCTAATTAACGATGAACTACACATTCAATACCAATTTCTGCTATCATTCATATTGTTAGCATTCGTTACATGTGATTGGAAAAAGAGGCAAAAGAACTCAAAGTATACTAATGATGCAATTGTCAAAATCAGAAAGAAATAGAAAATTTAAATTATTTCGAGAAAATAACACTGTGAAAAGGAGAATTCGTGAATTAAATTGAATCGTGAAACATATGATAGATAAAACAGTTGGAAATTTAGTTTGAGAAGTCTAAGAACTAAGAAAACCATTTAACTAATGCTTCTCTGTCATGATAATTTTTCTCCATTCATTATTATTATTTAAGTTTTTGACTTTTCCTGCACGGTAACCTCCATAACCATCGAGATGCCAACTCAATCGGTTTTCTGCATTGTCTTTATCTTCCCCATCTGCCGAATTACAGTTTATAGTTGTTGACGATGGAGCAAATCCAAATGATTTCTTCTGTGTTAAATACCAATTAACATTATCATACTTTGCTGGTTCATTTAATGGACTATCCAAAGATAAAATTTCCGATGGTCCCATTGCTGCTATCTTCAATATCATTGATGAGCTTCCTTGTATAGCACCGACAATAATGTGTTTCTTACATTGTGATCTTAATGCTCGTAGTTCTTCGACTGTTGTTACATGACTATATGGAAAATCATAAATGATATTCCACAAAGAAATCAACGATGATAATTGTACGGCATGAACAATACTAAATGGCAAGCGTGTCCAAAAATCTAAATACACGGTAGCTTCAAGTTTCTGTACATTTTGTTGTAAATTTTCAACTAGTTTTTCTAATGATTCAATTTTCTTATTACTTCGATCCAACATATCCATTAGACAATCTAATTGTTCGTGTTTTTCTTTCTGTTTATAAACTAGATTACATCGTTTACATTCGATTTTGATTTCACCACAATTTTGTTCGTGTTGATCTAAATCTTTTTTTAATATATTCTTTTGACAACCACGACATATCTTCATTTGATATTGACATTGTTCTTGTTGATGTTTTTCAAGTGATTCATATAACAATATATCATTACAACCATTATGTTTGTTTTCACATTCAATTTTAAATTTACATAATAAAGCATAAAACATTGGTGAACAACGTTTTTCTTGATAATATTGACATAGAGGACAAACATTCGGTTTTTCTTTCAAACATTTATCAATACATATCTTACAAAAGACTCGTTGACAATTTTGACATTCAACTGGTTTCCATAACAAATGAAAACAAATAGGGCAGAGATATTCATCATCAATTTGACTAATATTTGTAATACGTTCTTTTGAAATACTCATTAATGACTAATATTAAACTAAAAGTGAAACAAAAAAATTGTAGAATAAATTTGAAATTAAATATAACAAAAAGTCATCGCTAGTTTTTACCAATACACAGAATATATTCATAAAAATGTAGTTTAACAAGTTCATATTTATATAAATATCCTGTATTATTATGAATTTTCTGTTAGAAAATATCTTAGACGTTCTGACGCTAGCAATCCAAACAATACGAATATCTCACAATACAAAAATTAATCTGTGATGTTGTTTAGAAGAGCCGTGTCAAATAAACACGGTCGTAAATGCCCGTTTTAGATGGGTTTTTCATCGTTTGGTAGGCGCAGCATTACGACTGCATTGCAAACGATTGGATAGTTGATTTTCAGACCGTTTATTCACTGTGTACGACACGATAAAATACGATCATAATACTGCATCCACTACACGTCAATTTACAGCTATTTACGGCCGCTCATTGTATGAAATGACAGTTTATAATACCATTTTTGGTCGTCTCAGCGACTGTAATCATTGTCCTAGGAAACGCACCAATTCCAATTTTTGGATTTGGTCAGAATCGAAATTGAGTAGGTTTCGGTTGTTGTAGAATTATTAATTTTACATATATTTACATAAATTAATAATTTGATTTAAATTTTTTCAAGATCAATTCCAACAAATTTCGATCAATGCAAAGTCAAAACTTGGAATTGGAATCAGTGCATCCCTAATCATCCTGAGAAGACATCGAGTTTATCAATCAACAACACTCTCAGGATAATAGTTCGTTTGTATTTCTTTCCATCGGATAAAATCTCGTATACAAACTAATTACGACTTATTTATTACGAAAAGAAATAGCTATAATACTAAACACTTACTTTTGTTGACGAAGAAGTAAAACAAACTGTTATTCATTCTATTTTAGATAGAGAAACATACCCATAAAGTTTATCTTTATAATATTCTTATCATCTTTACGATACAAAATTATAGGAAAAAACCTTTTTTCTCATCATGTTAATTGTTTACCGACGAAAAAGAAAAGCGAAAGATAACAATTTTATGTTTCCTTTTTTTTTCTTCAGAATAATATTTGAGTCTGCATGACGATTATTTCTTATGTTTATGCTAATTCTTATTGTTAAAAAATGATTTTTTATCATTATAAAAGAAAAATTTTCGCATTCTATAAATGCTGTTCAATATTGACAATTATCTAAATAAAAACCTATTAATCATTCATGTCATTTATTCTCGAAAATAATAGTATCCGACAAGTTAAAATATTAGTCAATCAAAAGAAATAATTGACAACGATAATTCAATAGTATTCTGTTACAACAAGAAAAATCAAAAATTATAAATTATAAATTAATATTAGCACATAATTTAATAGAAATTTCTTTTTTTTTTTTTTTGTAGAAGAAAAAGATCCCAGAGAAAAATTCAATTACTAATTAAAAAACGTACACGCATAATTTTTTAATGAACATAATTTCATTTTGTTATATATAAACACAAACCGGAAGTATATACGAAGAAAACATAATTGTCATGTGTACATATACAAAGATAAATAAATGATTAGAAATAAGTAATCACAGTAGAATGAATAGAAAAAGTGGGGAATAGTAAGAAAAAAAAAAGAAGTAGACTGAGTAGAGAGAAACTTGTAAATTTCCAAAGATGTTGAATATTGTTTGTATGATTAAATGAATTGCACATAATATATCGAAAGATTATTTAAATTTTTATTTGTTCGTTTGATCATATATATATCTGTTGATTAAAGATTGTCAAACGGATTAACAACCTGTTGTTGATTAATCTCAATAGTGTCATAGAATGCTTGAGCAGCAAATGGATTTGTATTAACATTTGTTGTTGGTTGATTATTTATACTATTGAAATTCATTTGCTAAAATAATATATTATTTTAAATGATTCAATATATATGATTCGAACATACTAATGATCCACTAGATACAGCAAAAGGATTATTCATCAAAGATGTAGATGGTGGTTGTTGCCACATAGTACTTGATTGAACAGTCATCTAAACAGGGAAAATTTCTCTAAATTTTATTTTTTAAGTAAAATCACTTACACTATTAAACGGTGTACTCATTGTCGAAGGATTTGGCCATGTTGTTCCAGGTGTATTTGTAGTTCCTGCAGGTAGACCAATTATTTGTTGATTTTTTGCATCATTTTCTGTCCATTGATGATCTTTTCTATTAGAAAATAAATACTCAATTGATAATAATAATAATAATAGAAATTATTTTAAAAAAAAAAATTTTTCGTTTTACCCAATTTTTGTATGATCTTTTATATTAAGATGATCAATTAATTGATTAAGTGATGAATTAATATCACCTGATTGAAATGATTTAGTAACTGTTGGAATCTTTTGATTATTTGTCAGTAATGGAATTGAATTAGTATTTTTATTTGTTGATATCGAAGTTGGTTGAAGAACATCACCAAAAACATGTGCTGAATAATAATATATAAGACAAAAATGTTAATATTTAATAATAAATAAAATTTATTTACGTTTTGATGTCGATGTATCAAGAACATTTTGAAATGCAGGAAATGTATTTATATTTGTTTGAGATGATGGTGTAGCCAATGAAAATATATCATCAGTGAATGATTGTTGTTGAGAAAAGAAATTTGGATTATCAAAGACATTTTCATTTGTCGTTATTGTTGTTTGAGTAGGAACTGGTGGTGGTGGTGATGGTGATGGTGGAGATGAAGCTTCTTTTTTCTAAAGATATTATAAATAGTTATTGGCGATATCTGTTTTTTTCCAATAGAATGAAAATTAAAGTATAATTTGAATTGTTATAATTATCATGAATAATTCATAAGAGAAATTTAACAATCAATGTTCTGTAACTTTATGAATAACCTTATTAGCATGAAAATGTGTGATATTTTATTGTTTATTCATCATCAAAAGATAAGATGAGCTGAGGAAAATTCAATCTTTCAATTTATTATAATTTACAAAAAACTTTCAATCGAATTTCGATAGTCACTTCGTTAATATTTTCAATACAAACGAAAAAATAATGCTAAATTTTTTTTTTAAACAAGTTAAGTATACATACTATATTAAATTTTGCTAATGCTTTCGCTTCTTCTTGAAGAATTTTTTGCGAATCATCATTCACGTGAGCAATAAAGTCATGTGAAAAACTCTTTTTATCTTGTTCTGTTGAATTTCTATATAAAATAAAAACAAACTAAACATATGATATACAAATCTTTTAATTTTACTTTGAGACTAATGATTGTGATGATGGCTTTTTACCTTCGAGATAAGCTAAATGATTTTCCAATGATTCTAAAAGACTATTTGGAGCCTAGAATTGAAAAATAAAATATCTATATTAGTTATTATATTCATCGAGAATTATAGATTAAAATCATAAGCAAACAAATTCTCTAAGATCACTTTTTTCTCACTTTATTTTTCCCGATATCCTACATATACAAATTCGTATAAATAATACTATTTCATTTCATTCATAATAATTTACCCGAGCTAAATCAGCAATTTCACTACGATCCATGCCAGACGGCTAAAATAAAAATAAACAGAATAATTTTTGTTTTTTAATGAAATATTAAATCATCAAGGTTAACTTCCGTGTATAAAAACTTTTTACATAACATGTCTGGTCGGTTGTTCTTCACTTATAAATCATCGGAGAGAATTAGAATCTCATGCTCTTTCTAACTATGTAAGTTCGAAGTAACAAAGTTTTGAAACATAGTATTTTTGACTTTATTCCTTAATGGCAATAACTAGAACATATAAGAAAAATGGTTTGAGGAACTGAAATATCTTTCTATTAGAAGAAGTACTTGTCACATTTCCATAAATAGGTTTGAGTGAAAAGTCTCTCGTAAAATAAAACTTCCCAAAAACCAGTTTTTTTGGATTTTATCAAGCAACTTCGTTTGATAGAGAAAACATTTCTGAACAAATAGAATGTGGCTGAGCTTTTCACAACCTATCTTCAGCGAACAACAATCATTGTGCAATAGGTTTAAAAGGCTATTTTCTGTTGTTTTACACTTCGAAGCCTTTTGTAGAATGAATACAGTTCGCTGAAGATAGGCCGTAAAGAGATCAACAATATCTTATGGTGTTCATAAATTTTTTTCTCGATCAGATGAACTGTTTTGATAGAATCTAGAAGACTTGTTTTAGGAGTCTTGGCTTTTCAAAGACCTTTCATACAAACCTGTTAACGAGAATTTGATAAATATCTCTTTTGATATGAAAGAAAAATGTTTGCTTCTTTTAGAAAATCGAATACTCTACAGAACTAGAAAGTTAAAATACTAGCTGATTATTGTTAATTCTCTTCGATGAATCAAAATTGATCAGACATATTATACAAAAACATTTTATACGAAGGTTAATTATAATTAAAGCTTTAAAAAAATCGACCATCACACGTCATATAAGCAATATAAAAAAAAAACAAATTTGATAAGCACATATTCATATTACCCCTTCCCAAAAACATCGATCAAATAATTGTTCATAACGCTAATATTGTTTTATTTTGTTTATATTTATTTAATCATAAAATAGATTTGAACTTACTTCACTTATTTTAAAATATTGAGATACTTGATCTGTTCGGTCGAGAAATTTTTTATACATATCAAGTGCTTCACGACATTGTTTTTTATTCATATTAAAATATTTTTCTAAATGCAAAAAAAAAAAGAAAAGAAAACAAATTTTTAATCTGTAAAACGAAATACTAAAATTCATACCAAGTAAATTAATTATTCCTTCATTAAAAGCAGCATATAGATATATAAGATCTTTGATAAGAAGAAAAAAACAACTATATATAACACCATTCGTCAACTGATTAGGTGTAATCTAAAATATCAAAAAGAAAAAAGAATTCTTTCATGGTTTTTGAATTATAAAAAAAACATTTATTTTGATATATCATTCTCAAAATAAAGTAATCTCTAATCTCACCTAACATATTTAAACTCTTTAATTTTGAAAAGGCAATTGAAATTTTTTAAACAAAATATTTTCTATCTTTAGAGAGCATAGATCGTCAACATTGTTGGATTGCTGAGAAAATCAATTTTTTCTATATGATAGCAAAACGCCATTAATATAGATTTGTATTCAGAAGTTTTGACTATCGGAATTTCAATTCTAAATGAAACAAATATCTTAGGAGAAGCTACATGTCAGAGTATTAGAAAATAATACTGAGGACATGTAAGGACCGAACATTGATAAAAATTCGTTTTCAGTATTGAGTATACAATTCGATGTATATTTCTTTGATGATTCTGAATATGATATGTGTTTCATTTGGAACTGAAGTTCTCATAGTCCACATCTGTAAATACAAACTCATATTTATGGCATTTTGCTATTATATCGAAAATATTGGTTTTCTCAACAATTACGCAATTTTTTTCCCTAACTATATGCCAGATAAAATCAAAAACGAAATTTGACTACGGAAACTTGATGCTTTGGCGTGTTTCAATTTTTATCGACTTCTCTCTGATTTTTTTTAATCAAATTTTTATTGACGTATTCGAGTGACTATTATTCTATATGTAGAAGATTATTTTATTAGTAGCTCTTTTGGAAATATTGTGAGAAGTAAATCTTTAACGATTGGAATATAAATAACATGAAATCGTTTCTTCTAATTATCAAGTTCAAGATCGAACAAGGAAGAAAGATACTGGAAAAAAAATGTCCCGTTATATATTTATTTATGTTTTAATTAGAGTTCGGTGGTTTCAGAAAAATTGGAACCATTAAACTATCAAATAGATGCAAAAATTCTTAAAATATTAAAATATGTGTGCCGTCTTTAATCTCAATAATTCAATAGTGAAAATTTTCGTTTCAATCTGATGATTTAACAGTTTCAGTTCCACGTCATATTTTAGTAACAGAACCGAAACTATCAAACTCTAGTTCTAATTCAACTTTCAATAGACTTACATCAAAATGAAGTATAGCATCAATTTGTTTTTGAAGCAAAGGTAAAGCTTTAAATAACTAAAAAGATTACAGAAAAAAAAATCAAATAGAATTTTTTTCTAATATAATCATTACTTCATACCTTGTCAATAGGCATTGTTCGAAGAAGTCCATCATCTTTTCTTTAAAATAAAATAAACAAACATACGTTGTTTTGTTTTTGTTTTTATATTGAAGATAAAATCTGTTACAAACCCTCGTTTTATTTTACAAAAATCATAACCCATTAATTTATAAGCTTCACGTTTTTCATTTAAATAATCAGCATATCGACGAATATACATTAACATATCACTACTAGGTATTCCTATACGATCAATCATAACAGCTGGTTGTAAATTATAATAATGTGATGCCATATAAGCTTCAAAACGCTAAGAAAATTCGAAAGAAAAAAAAAGAATTTTTTTTTGCTTAGTAAAATAATATTTTTGAAACAAAAAAGATTTTTTGTTTTTTTACTTCATTTCCATATGACATTAAATGATGAATTGTAATTAATGATTTAAATGAAACAACCCATGAAGAATTTTGTGAACGTTCAATTAAAAGATCAGCAGTTTCAGGAATTGAAACATTCATTTCATGTGTTGCTTGTAAAAGAACTTTAAAAATTAGAAAAAAAAAAAAAAAAAAATTATTTTTATTTCAATATACATATATTTCAACTTACAATCAAGATGTTTTCGTTTGGGTCCCATAATTTCTTCTGTTGTTGCTTTACATACAACTTTAGCTACAAGTTGTCCAGATATTGTATTTTTTGCAGCTAAAAGTCGATCGACAATACTTTGTCCACCTTGTTGCATAGTTGTATTTTTTCTTTCTAGAATAAAGAAATGAAATAAATCTTCATCATCATCATGTATCGTTTAACCAGTAGTAAAAAAAAAGAATAATTCCTTTTAAGGTATTTTATTTGCTTTTAACAAATGGCGACATATATTACATGTATATGATTGGTTTTATACAAGAAATAGAATAAAATCTGGATTATGAAATTCAAATATTCCATTGAAAAATTTAATTTTTTTATTTAAATTTATTTTCGATCAATTAGTTATCAATCATAAATGTATATTCTAAACTAAGCCTCCTCATAAAAATTAATTAATTTTCGTGAGAAAAATCGATATTAAGATAAATGGCATGGGAGTATAATCAGAAGTCTAATCTTTTATAAGCAATAGGATTGTTAATTTCCTACCTCCTCAAAACTTTTGAATATTACTGCTGTGTTGGTATTCTAGTAAGTCTAGGGTGCGGATGTTCATATTTATAGCTATATCCACTGATAACTATGCACCCATATCTACACCTAGAGCTAATGGGGTCTGGGTCTAAAAATTTCTACCGATTAGCCCAGGATCGGACGAACACTTTGACGCATATAAATAGTAATACATATTGAATTTTTCTCCATCTCATTCAAAAAATCTTTAATTTATTCATCAAAAAAATAAAATAAAATAAAAACAAAACTCAACAAAATTCTTCTTGACTAGAGTATCTAAACCTAGTTATTATCAGATTCAGGCCCAAAACAAATTTAATCAGTCGGATCTGGATCCAGAATTTCTTGAATCCGATGAGTTCTACCCACACTCCACACCCTTATGTTTGTGCAAATAACGAGAAAATTTTGTTATTTCTATTTCTTCGTATTTTTTTATCAACTGCAGTATAAATATGCATTTTTCATCTCGTGCGCATCTTTTGTAAACACAATTTTATGCGTAGCTTATCTTAATCCATTTTCTTTACACAGACTGAGTCTAGAGTACTGCTTGGCATTACAAAATTTTTTAGTCACGGTCACAACCTGTGACTATTGCGGCCTTGGTCATGAGTCACGAAAATTTTCTCTGGTTTGTTACGACCTCTCTCATCAACGAGTTATTTGTTAACGAAGGTTATAAATATTATCGGTTCGAAACAGCGAGGTAGTCATGAAGAATGGTGCAGGGGGTGTGTATCTCCCATTTTTTTAAAGGAAATTTGCAGTTTTTTCCAGATAAAATCGTATTTTTGATTAAAAAAAAGATCCATCTCCTGTTCACTTTTAAAAAATTGTATATGAACATTTTCAACTCTTGACAAATTTCTTAAACATCTTTACTAGAGAATCATTGAAATGACAAGGAAAGTTATTTGTGAAATGAAACTCATTCGAGATGGATGAATTCTATTGATACTAGAAAAAGTCCAAGATGGTTGATGGCCATAAATCTGTCGGTTCGAGATGTAGTAATTTTATTAGTTTGTATGCTCTTTGCAAAATATTTAAAGAAATATCGAAGGGAAATATTAAAGCTTGGGTTTCTTTTCATCAAATATCTTATAATTCTTTTAATACATAAAAACTTGTAGGTAAAATAGATCCTATCTCTTTATCGTTCTTTTTCATTCATGGATGTGAGTGTGCTTGTACTTGTATTTATATTCTAGTCACACCCACATCCAAAACTGTCGCATTAAAATTGGTTATGTAACAGTTGTTATCATTAAAAGTTCAATGATCTTTGTCTCTTAATACTTTGATAGATATTTCGAGCACAGCTAGAATTAAACAATAATTTGATTGAAATAATATAATTATGGATATAACAACAACAGAGCATTCAAGATACACCATGTATCTAAAGTTATAAATAAAAAGAGAGATAAATATGAGATTGGAACTGATAAGCGAGATGCAAGTGATCAATATTGGATCACTGAATACGATAAATATCACTATCAAATTGATAATTGATAATAGATTCAGCAATACTCGTAAATATTGTGATGCTTTCTCTTGTTTAATCAGACGTTGTTGATTATCTATCATTTTACTTATATCATCGATGCTGAAATATCAATTGATACACTGAAAGCACCAATTCTCTATCTTCATTTATTTTTTAAAGAACTTTGACAACTTTAATTCCACTAAATTGATTTGATGTTTGTGTCTCATCATCATGGATGATTGGCCAACTATGATATATACTAAATGAAATAAAAAAAGATACATAATATCAATGACCATGCTTATGAAAAGTAACGAATATATATTGTTCATATGACGAAGGTACGAAACTGATGGCGTCTAAAATAAATGGTACTTTCATACTAATGTATAGACAAATTTATCTATATAAGTAACAACAAATTCGCAATCAATCATACGTTCAGTACATGTTTGTATTAGCATAGTTGATATCATAAATATGGTCAAATAATAAAAACAATACAAAAGAAAATTTTACACCAGTATCTCTTATTCAATGAACATTATATATATCGTTCGGAGAAAAGAAAGAGATGAAGGAGAACAGTACAGTGGTTGTTTAAATCCTCTTTAACAATTCTTGACACTATTTATAATATCTAACTAGTTTTGACCATATTCTTACATCAGTGTTTAAGCAGATGGTTAGTATCAAGAGCTCATACTACAACATACATACACTTATGAAAAAGTGAGTTCTCATTAAAAGAAAACAATTCATCAGAAAATAAACCCAGTTTGGAAAAAGTTGATTCGTATTTAAATTAAAGATCAACTCTTTTTTGAAAAATTTTGATTTTAGATACTACTGTAGGGAATTTTAGCAAAACCAAAAAATTATTTATATTGTACAAGATGTAATCACATCGTTTTGTATTGCACTTGAAATCTATGTTTACTAGCATTTAGTATAAATAAATGACATCAAAATATATCATGAGTATGATATTTACACGGAGAAAAAAAGTAAACTAAGTTTTGAACATCATTATTACATACTCATCAATATTCATGAAATATTACTTGATAATTTCATAAACTTTGACAACAAAACAAAGAATTCAAATAAAATCTTATTTTTGTTTTTTTACTACTTTGAGTGACGAAATTCAATGTCTCTGAGAGTATGAAATTTCCAGCGCCCTCTGAAATGCAACGTTTGCTATTGATTCGCTGAGTCACTCCTATCTCCTATTGCCAGTTATGCACTCAACTTTTTTCTTTTCTGTTTCATTCTGGTTTCTTTTATTTGTTATTGGTAACTATGTGTCATCATTATTGTATCTGAAATCTTCTGTCGTCATCTCGAATGTTCGACTGCTGATTCATTTTCATACAACATACAATATAAAAACAGCAATTTCTTTCACATTACTTCATTCATTTTTACTAAACATATATTTGTTTCTTCTTATTGTCTACTTGCTATTACACAATAATAATGCAAATCTTTGTAAAAACACTTACCGGAAAAACTATTACACTCGAAGTCGAACCAAGTGATACCATCGAAAATGTGAAGGCAAAAATCCAAGACAAAGAAGGAATTCCACCTGATCAACAACGTCTTATCTTTGCTGGTAAACAACTAGAAGATGGTCGAACACTCAGCGATTACAACATTCAAAAAGAAAGTACACTTCATCTCGTTCTTCGATTACGTGGTGGTATGCAAATTTTTGTTAAAACACTTACCGGCAAGACAATAACACTCGAAGTCGAACCAAGTGACACAATCGAAAATGTTAAAGCTAAGATTCAAGACAAGGAAGGTATTCCACCTGATCAACAACGACTTATCTTCGCCGGTAAACAACTCGAAGATGGTCGCACATTGAGCGATTACAACATCCAAAAAGAAAGTACACTTCACCTCGTTCTTCGATTACGTGGTGGTATGCAAATCTTTGTTAAAACACTCACTGGCAAAACAATAACGCTCGAAGTTGAACCAAGTGATACCATCGAAAATGTTAAAGCAAAAATCCAAGACAAAGAAGGAATTCCACCTGATCAACAACGTCTCATCTTTGCTGGCAAACAACTTGAAGATGGTCGAACACTTAGCGACTATAATATTCAAAAAGAAAGTACACTTCACTTAGTTCTTCGATTACGTGGTGGTATGCAAATATTCGTCAAAACTCTCACCGGCAAAACTATAACACTCGAAGTCGAACCAAGTGACACAATCGAAAATGTGAAAGCAAAAATCCAAGACAAAGAAGGAATTCCACCTGATCAACAACGTCTCATCTTTGCCGGTAAACAACTTGAAGATGGTAGAACACTCAGCGATTACAACATTCAAAAAGAAAGTACACTTCATCTTGTACTTCGACTTCGAGGTGGTGATAATCAATAAAATATGTTTTTAGGGTATCCAGGTCATTAGATTGCTTTGAATCTTTTTCTTTTTTGTTGTTCAAGTTAAATCAGATATTTGAATTAATGTATAATTCGGTTTTTTTTTTATTTTTAATATTCACTCAGTGCATTAATTTGAACTGTTTGTTCAATAATAAAGTTACCTAATGTTAATATATGAATCTTGACTCTATTGATGAATGAAAAAAGCAAAAATTTATTCTTATGAAGTGTTGAGAAATATTTTCAAAATTCTAAAAGAGTAAATTTTCAAATTTATGAAAATTTCTGATACAATGAAAGAAGCTATAAAAGAGAGAGATACAGAGATTTAGAGGTAGCTTTGAAAATTTCATAGAATTTATCGAAACCTATCATAGAACAATAGTTAATTAACAAGGAATTACGAATTTTCTCCAAATACTAATCAGAAATTTCTGATTGAATTCTGAAATTATTTAGCCACTAACAAGCTAGTTCAATCTACTTCCATATGAGACAGAAGATTCTATCCTCCAAAATATTAGTCATTTTAGTAATTACTAGGAAATTGCAAAAGATTCAAGGATTACGAAATATTTTTCTTATGTACATGTCAATGTACTTTATGGTAGAGAAGAAGATGGTACCTTTTTCAAGTGTAGATAATTTCCAAAACTATAAATACTT